CTTGGCGGTCCACAGAGTCAAAGGCAGCTTTCAAATGAGTGTTTCGTCAAATTTGGTATCAAGTAGAACATAAGGTTGACGGAAACCCAGGGACTGCGCCTACCTGATGAACCCCAAAAAGGTCGAAACGGTCGTAGGCCTGTCGACGGATTTTCAGCAACCTTATGAGTAGTACATTACGGTCCAATCGTCCCTTTAAAGGAGGGGAAAAAGATTTGAGGATCATCGTGTGAAAAGAAATAGTCCAGTAAGTCGGAAGAGAATCCCATCTAAGAAGCTGAAATCTGGAGAGTCGGTCCAAACTAAACCACGTGATAAGATTTCAGTGATCTAATTTTGGTAGTGCTATACCCTGTCTAGATGTGAGCTAACCATACTGCTGTTTAGCAGTATATGGTAAAGTGCTCAACAAATAACCGGGAAGTTATGAGTTTGATCCTTTCCTGAAATTCGTGAGGTAGGCACTGTTGATGATTCATGACAGTTGTACAGCGCTTCTCAGTTTTTCAGAATAGAACGGTTTCACTTGTACGAAGAAATCTTCCCTATTGAAAGCTTGTGATGACACCAAAACAACCGAGAATAAGAAATTCCCCACGCCAGTGTTTTGAGCAATTGAAATTGAAGACAATCTGACCGAAAACAAGCCATATTTGAACTAAATTAGTTTGCTAAGTGCTTTTTCAAAGTATAGTTGATGTACTCCTGGCGTGCATGTGTGATAAATAACATGTCTCAGCCGATTTGTCTGGAGACAATGGAGGCAACTTACACACTGTATACTTTGTCTGGTTAGGAGACAGATTAATGGGTTGAACCGTGACGCAGAGCGGAGAGAGGAAGGCTAGCGTAAGTCGCAGCTTTTTTTCGAAAATTTTGCGGAAGCAGATCCGAACTAGTAGAACAGAGTGTGGATGAAAGCGCGAACGTTGACATATGGGCAACGAGAAATTCGGACACAAGGTTTGTGTGTGTGTGTGTGTGTGCGGGCCTGTACTTGTGTGTGATTTATTCGAATCTAGGGCCGGCGATACATCTTCGTTGAAATGAGGTAGGAAGGACTTTGATTAATGTCCCAGACCAGGTGATGAGTCAACACGGTCCATTGTACATGATTGGTTTTATTCTGCCCCGGCTGCCACTACATGAAGTTATGATTTGGCAGATACACATCACAACGAACAGTCGGACAGTAAAACAAAGCCCTGACATTGTTCTGTTGACAACTCGGCGACCAATCCGGTGCGTCAGGCTACGAAATCGGAACTGGAATCAACTAAGAAACCATCCGGAACCAAAAGGTTAGAGATAACTTGAAGGTAGTTCACGCAGTCAATAGGAAAATGTATACTACAAGGAAACTCCGCTGTGTGCAACACGTGTCAGTACAATAGTAATTCTATCTCGGAGAAAACAACCCCAGAGAAAGTCCTTACACGAGACAACGATCTTCTTTTATGCCCACTAGGAAACAGCCTGTACGAGAGAAAGCTCGACGAGAGATTAGCTTGCAAAAATAACACACACAAGGAACTATTCTCGTAACACACAATTTATGTAAATAATCCATATGATCTGTGGACCTTACTGTTCAACTGGTTAGCTAGATGGCAACTACAGAACCCAACGACAGTTCTTTCCCGGAACCAACCACTGAGTGAAAAGAACATCCGTACCTATCCCAGTTTTATCGAGTCGTGCTAGACCAGTCACGACCGACCATGAATTGTTTTGTTGATGGTACGTAATGTCCTCTAATGCGTGTTCGGTCTAAGGAATAGCCAGTGTACCTCCAACCACAGTGTGCCTGGATGAATTGAATATACACACTCTGGTCCCAAGGCGTACATGACAAAGTTCCACGTATACCAGCCTTGTCCATGTCTAGCTCATGACGATTCTTGAACAGAGTTTGACAAGAGTGATAAGTTGGTGGTTGATCAGATGAAAGTTAATTTGTTCGCCGATCTTGGTAATTGGCTTGCAAACGTCTCGTCCCGTCTCCTCGACTGGAGACAGATCAAACATCAGTAAACACACCCGAGCTATCTATATTTCTACAAATTGACAGGGCGATAAGTTGCACACGAAGTCTTTACTACCGTCACAATAGGATACAGCAACAGGTCGTGCATATTGTTTCTATATCATACCCATTTCTTTCACTGTTTTCAGGGCACAGATGAACTGAATCAAACGAATTAACATTGAAAACTAGTTTCCCTGCTTTTGGATCTGCTAATCCTGCAGCTGTATTGTTCATTAGAGCCAGTACAATAACCCATTCTGATGTATTGGCATCTTCTCAGCATTCCACGAATCTGAGAATGTAATTCATCAGATGCAGTATATTACTACAATAACTTAACAGATGATAGCAGACGATAAAAATGTCTTCAGCATGGTGTTGGTCTAGACACGTCAATCCCTACGAATATACCTCCACACGACAACACACTGCTTCGTCACGCAGATCATCCGTACAACGAAGCGGGTCAATCGATGGGGGTTTTGACAAATCGTTCAGGAATGTGTTGACCAGCCAGAGTAAGAAAGTGGCGTTTTAAATCTTAAATTGCCTTAAGGTTGGCACGAAACCCACCAGAAGGATTTTATTAGATAATCTAACTTACGTGCACAATAACAGTGGCTGTGGCCGTCATCGTTCGGAACCCCACGTCACCCAGGTTAGCATGACGCGCGATGGGATTGTAGGCAATTATTTGAAATCGATGTTGGCTCCGTTGCTCATAGTCCAGTGGTCGATATAGATAGATACTTCCAGTGTCAACGTTCAAGCGAAACCAGTAACTCGGATGAGTTACAGATGGGTCCAGTTGCCCGGAGAGCGAATTCACAATGGCATTGTTACCCAAGTGTTCGGTGGTTTGATTCTTGGTAGCAATGGCTGTTTCCCAGTTTGCCGCATCAAGCCAATCGTATCGAATAACACCATTCGGACCTTCATCGGCATCTGTGGCGCGAAGTTGGACAATTTCCTTTCCAACCACTCCCTCGTTCACGGTAACCTCATAGACATTGTGAGCGAACTTGGGAGCGTGATCGTTTGTATCCAAAATGCGGACTTGTAACAGAAGAGTTCCAGTGCGGGGAGGATTCCCACCATCGATTGCAAGAATCCGATAATTGTACTGAGCAACATTCTCACGATCCAGTGGCTGAGTCAGTTCAAGTTCCAGTCCTACAATAGGCGACGAAGTCAACTTTTCTGAATTATAAGGGTCGGACGTTTCTCCAAGATCTCGGATGATATTCAACTTAAAAGGATTTCCTTCGATACGATGTGACATAGGATCAGTTGGAGAATCCGATTGATGCAATTCGTAAGTTTGTACTTGAAACGGAGGTGCGTCAATATCTTCGGCGAGTGGTAATCGCACTCGGTGACCGACAGGTGAAGACTCCGAGATGTTAATCATATGACCCAAAGGATCCATGTATCCACCAGGATTTCGAGTTGTGCCGGGCAGCTTTTCACAATTAAGAGATAAAAACACATGAGAACTGAGTCATATCGTCCCCAGTAGTTTTGAAATACAAAAAGTACTCCCGTGCCAAGTGCTTCCAACCTACTGACCCCTAAAAAACCGTAGTCCTGCAATTTCATTGCAAATGGTTTGTTGATCGAGTCACTAATGACATGATGTTGATAAAATTGTACAAAGTATCGTATTCAGGACCAGAAATTGATTGTGACAAGAGGCATTCACAGAGATGTCTCTACATTCGGGATAAACAGGATAGCCCATAATCGGGATAGACTGATGCCTTCCGATAGGAGTAACCAACCAACAGCCTCCAATCTTCAAAGCAAGAAATTGTTTGCCACTAATCCAGTATCAGGTTCACCACATATCTACAGGATGTCAATAAGTGCAAACCATTGGATCCCATTGGATCACACCGTTGCTCAGTATCATCCATCAGAACCCTGCGTCATCCATGGGGTCCTATACCCTCGACCCTAATAATCCCATTCCAGGATTTGAAGAGGTTAAATACATAATCATTAAAAAAACCTCTGGATGCCTACCAAGTAAACTAATTACGCGGAAGCAGATGCATCACCTGAGACAGAGCATGTATGAAGCGAAGTTCAGCATCTGAACCGGATAGTTTGAACAAAACGACAGCACATTGTGAAAACCTCAACGATGATGTGATCGCACGGCAACAGTTGAGTTGATCATCACCTACAAGAGCAACCCTCGTTCATCTGTGTTTGTACGTACGTTTCTGAAACTTATGCTTACTGATAAACACGTCCCGATCAGTGGTATGGTCGTTTGGTGATTCTTCCTACTCTAACAGGGAAAGTCGTACTGGCCAAAGAACTATTTGCATCCTCAATCAAGAAAACTGCACCTTGGATGCGGTTTTGGTTGCAAAACACAGGAGACCGACTTCGACACGAAAACTTCGGCCCCATTGGAAGAGGGTAATAGAAGAAGGGTCGTGGAAGGAGGGAAACCTGCACTATTTTCTCCAAATGAGTACAACCATCACACTAGTTTTATGAGATTGTGGAAGAGAACCAGGTTCTTAGAAGTTTCCCCTGTGCTTCATTTTTGAAACTACCACTGCAAAGCATCACACCGGAAAGTTAGATGAAGTTGGCCATCTAGTGTTTGGTCAAAAGTTGCTATCCAAACTTACCTTGAAAACCGGAATATGGTCATTTTCCTCAATGATAATAACGGTAACATCGTGAATATCAGGTTTCTGTCCAGGTGAAGATACAACCGAAACACTCAGATTAAATGTGCATGTGTGCTGTGATGCGTGGTCGGAGGAAAGTCCCGGATGACTGAAGTCAGTTGCGGTTGAGTACGTCAAAGTTGAACGTGTGTTGACACAACACAATTCCGCTTCAGCACAAAGCAAGTCACGGTCGATTAGACGAACACTGCTCAGCTGACCAGTACGATTGTCAACCGTGAAGTAGTTGCTCGCCTTTGATTGTAGTAACGAGTACGTCAGCTGATTACCCATAAGACCAGGGAGTATTCGCCCAGGGATCAATATGCCTTTGGATGTGTTGTCACGCAGACGAATGGTACTGGCAGGAATCGATTGGGTTTTGGGAGCAAAAATCAGTAATGCAAGAAGTGCGAGCATTCGAAACTCTGAAGTCCGCAAATTATGCTGACCGCTAGTACTTGTCAAGAAATATGCACAACGGGCTTCGCCGAGATTAGAATTCGAAACTGGTTGATTGAATTGTGCCAGAAATCGGTAGACTTCCAATGAAGCACACGTCAACCATCACCTTATCATAACCACAGAAAAGACCACCTACAAGAGGAGAGAACGAATTGTTTTAGATTGCCATAAAAGTGTTTCAAAGAAACAGATTCAATCAAGGTGAAAAGTTCACAATTTTCCATCATCGTGTATCACAAGGATTTCAATGACGACAAGAAGGGCAGTTCTGCATACTACAGATACAATCCCAACCTATTCGCTCAGCTGTAGCACGTTTTCGGTGCCTAACTGCCACGCCACCCGAGGGAAACACGAGGGCTGGGATACTGCCAGGTTGCCCAAGCCTAGACAGGGGAGGCCGAGAGGCGGAGGTCGGGTTCGAACCACGGACCGGTCGGTCAGTAAATCCGCGCTCTAACCACTTGGGCCACCTCGCATCCTACCAACCAATTAGAGTTTAGTAAATTCATATCGGCACGAAGGAAACTGTATTTGAGATTAATTATAGGTATATTGTACTGTCTCCTGTCGAAGATGCAACGTAATCTAGACAAACTGATGTTTAAGGCTCCTTGTTCTCTACATAGAGGCTAGTCGAAGTAATCCTCCAGAACAAGACCCTTCCAAATAAAAAGCCACTCACTCAAGGACTCTAACGCCATTTTCTACGGACCCGACAAGACGCCACTCTACCACAGTCCAAATATCTCCTTCCCCAACCAGGATCGCTCTTTGGTGAGGGCCAAAAGTATTCGCAGCATTTGATAATGAAAGCCCAAAAGGGTTTGGGGGTTACGCTCGGTAGGGAGGTAACAATCAGTTTGGATAGTGCGGTCGGAGTCACAGCATTGACAGGTCGACCCTGCGATAACTAGTGCGGTCGAATACGACCACATGTCTGAGCAGAAACACTCGACAATGAAACAGCCAAATGCCGCACAACAATCGAATAAGCAAATAACTTTTTCTACGACAGATTTTAAAAATGATGAGGCACCCGCTCGACATGATTAGACGTAAGCTGGTTTCTGTGTGAATTTCACAAATCAAGTATAATTTCTCCGAGTTTGTTACACAACCAAGCAGAAGCAGTGTAAAAACTAAGGAAACTAATAGGTGCTTGAGGATGCTGAAAATTCTCCCGTTGCATTCTTCAACTTAGAAGCTGAGTTGTGTAAATTTTCATGCCTATGTTAATCTATCACGGAGAGATTTGGTATGCATCTACACGAAGCTGTGATAAGATATGTTAAACACGTTCCACGTAGAACGAACCACAATTCCAAAGCGAACTTGACAGAATGCGACAGAAAACGGATGTACAGGATATGCGCAACTGGCGGCGGTTCTATACTGACATGCTTTGACTCTGAAAATAAGCCGTTAAATCCGTGAACGTGTGTAACAGTAGCAATTTAACCCGTTTGCGTCACTATAGATATTTGACATTCCTTCATGAAAATGACAATTCCAAAAAATCCCATGAACGCAATGCGGTAAAAATGGAAAACGCGAGCGTGACGGCATGACAACTGTTGCACTTCATCAGCATATTGACGAAATCTACCTCACGGTTGTGTTTTCCGAAACCTTGAAGATTATAAGGTGGCTTCTATATTGTGCTAGCGAACTGAGTTGTTTATCTTGGCCTTATAGTTACCTTCCAAAAACTGAAGAAGGGATTGTTCTGGTTTTAACTGGGTAAATACCGAATCATGAGATCACTGGTAACTTACACCTGACATTGAAGCAAAACTATCTAGACATAGCCAAACGAAAGTACCAGCACTGTTGGTGTACAAACCAGCCAGTCAGTTGATTTGAAAGTTGAGTAGCCAAACTCCTCCAGAAACTCTTATATTCCCGTGATAGAGAAAAATTTTAGGCTAATAGTTCATATACATTCTCGCGATGGAAATATAATACAGGAGCTTCTCATTCTCGAATATAAACCTTTATTTTCATGGTTGTCATATCAACTAGTGCATGGGTTAAGTAACATCTCTGATCGGTAATCGCAAAACAACCTCACGGCCTCATCTTCATGAACGAAGAATTCATTCCGCAGTACGTGTTTGATTCTTTGAATCTCCCACCACCGCTAGCTTGATATGCAAATGAGCTATAAAAACAGTACACAAACAAACTGAATTCAAGTAAGATAAGAATATGGTTGAAATTCTGGGAATTCGTCCGCCAGAACGAAAACGGTATCGGACTGACCAGTCTTACCCACACTACTTGAGTAACGACACAACCAAACCATAGGGAGTATTTGTGCTATGCGTTCACTCAGATTTGTTTCGAATCTTCCAGTCACATCAATTCGACAGGCAAATGAATTAATTATAAATACAACGAATGCCCAATTGTTTTCACCTTGAAGCCAAACGCCACTCAAGCGTTTGTGCTACTAATTTTTCTTGTCTGACTTAACTTGGGAAAACAGGATTGAGAGGTGAACTGGGATTGAAGAATGTATAATACATGCTACAGCGAATGGATTAGTTTCGTAGCAGTTTACCCCTAGTGATAAACACTAGGTTCATGAAGTGATCGGGCGAGTGAGCTAAATTCGATGATTCGTGTTGCACTGCTACACACGAGGCTGCTCCATGCCATCCATATCGGGCTGAGACTAAGGATAACTTTGATTCAACTCCCATTAGTTGCAATGGTTTAGCCCATGCTTTATCACAACTAAAAGTTGAGGAAAATGATATCTCGTGCGAGCTTACCGTACATGGCATACACCGCCGCACAGCACTGCACGTGCACATGCGGACAGACGGAATAACCTGTGAATTGAGAAAAAATGTTCTCCAGCCTGCCATCTTTGCTGGACACATGGCAGTTCCCACACAATGAGAGCCGAAACTTTTAGTTTGTGGATAGTTTGGAATTGTGATTTTTTTCGATTGAAAAATATATTTCTTCTAAAAAACATGAAGCAAACAATAAAAATAACCATTGATTTCTCAGGAATATCACGGTGTTTTGCCGAGCTAACGACTAAGCCGTTCTGCACGCATGGGCGCGGCTTACAGGTTGTGTTTATATTTGGCAAATTCTCAAATATCACAAGCTAAACTCACCAGAAAAGCCACAGGTGTTCGCTAATAACGGAAAAATATGTAGCCGACGATACATGTACACATATTTGAGCATTATTCACCGATGCAGCAGAACGGAAACCCCCAGGGACTGGAGGGAGCGCGGAATGGGTGTACAGCTCTGCAACGGCCTCCCACTCCCTCCCCTCGCCCTGGCTCACCCAATCAAACCACCCCAACTAAACAAACCGGTCAAAAACAGCGTACGATGAACACGAGAGCGTTTGGCGCCAAGCTATTTTGTATTTTGTATAATGAAGTGAGATAAATTGGATTGGCATGAGAAGTCGCCTAATCAAATTAGACAGACAAACTGCCAGAAGGGAATGGATGATGAACGTTGGATACGCACCTGCACATAGCGGTAGGCGTTAACTCGGAAATGCGCTAGCTCGCTCGCCTGAGATCATGCTTATTGTTTTTTTTTATTTTACGGCAAACCGAGCTATTGTTTGGAAGAAGCTGTGCGAACAGAAATAATCTGGACCATGTGTTTTGAGTTAGTTGGTTCGAACGGCGCCGGTTGCGAATAGGGTTGGGTATAATAATGTCGACTGCAAGATAGTATGGGGTGATATTAGAGGATTCCGAGCATTTAAGTGGGCAAGACTCACAAGGAAAATCTTCTAAGAGAGTGGATTATTGGCCGATTCATTCATCAATCGAAAAGTCGGCCCGGGATACTGTATCAGCACACCCACTCTGAAAATGCCAGACGACGAAGGTATGTTTATTAAAGCGCAAAAACATCGAAGTTTTCCAACGCGAACGGTTGTAGATGCTAATGAGAATCAAGAAGAACAGATATAAACTATGCTAGTTTCAGATCCATTGAATCAACCATTCATGGATAAAAACCGCTGCGATGTACCCGCCAGGGATCTGACCTTAAAATCCCCTTTCCCTCATAAAAATCCAATACAATCGAATGTGTCCGACCATTCATTGAGCACAGTACAGTGCTCGCGATAGACAGAGCACTAACTTATACCTTGACCGATGAACCACTCAAGCGCATCAGGCGCGAACGCAGTGCACAGGTTGTAGACGGCTTTTGCTCTAGAGGAGGTTTTAAAATCATTTATTAATGATAGTCTCCACGTGATTTTTCCAACTGCAAACTACAATCAGCCGATTTGAGTTTTAAAAAGTTATGCGACTACCACAGTTTCCAAAATGCAACGATATATTAGGATGCTTAACTCGCCGAGTTACAGGTACAAGCATCCAAAGAAGAAAACACCAACCTTTAGCTTGTCCTTCAGCAATGCTATTGCGATCAACATCAGCGACGGCATCGGGTTCGCACTGAAATCATGACATGACAACAAACCAGTGTGCTTGTATAGTGGCGAGGTGTTCTGCCACTGCTCCCGTTCTGATAGACAGGAACAACGAGGTAGCTCAAAATCGAACCAGGCGAAACTCAGACATAAATACGATGCGATTGGATAAAGGTCCAGAACCGGAGACCGAACATCCCAAGAGAGAAATTAATGAACAAGCAGGAGGATATCTCTATGAGAAGGGTAGTCAAATCAAAAGACATCAATCTGATAAAGCCGAACAACTGAAATAGGTCTTAAATGGACCTTACAGTAGTTAGCCGCGTGGTAGACAGGGGAACAGATGAAAGCTTTATTAGGGGAGCTAGTTGATAAGAATTCTTGAGAATATCGAACCATCCTCTGATAAATTGGCAAAACTAAAACTCCGCGACTTAAAGCTCCAGGACCTTGTCCTGCTGCCTTTTAAGCAGGTTGTCAATTTTTCCATCATTCTGGGTCAAACCGTCTGAGCGCAGTTGTAATTCATACGTAATAAGGAATGTTTCTTCATCAGACTGTTCGACTGCGTTGGCCTCCGTTAGCACGTCACTCGAATCACACATTTGTCGTATTGATTTAGGTTCCTGCTTCGCT